GGGGGGGGGGGGGGGGGGGGGGAACGTCGACTCGGACGAAACAAATCCCCAAAGCCATCTACTTCAGTATCTGATTGTCATTTACGCACTAGTCTCCGTTTCGTTTCAATTCAATCGTATACTTTGCTAGCTGACCGCCTTAGCTACTTAATAGGTTGCACCCAACGCACGTCCACAATGTCCAAAGCCAAAAAAAAAATTCCCCTCAACATCGACCTGCTGCTTTACACACACGAAATAAAAAAACAAAGCTAGCCGAGCGCTGCCGGGCTCCTTGTCCGAGAAAGACCACGTGGTTTCGAAAGGATCTCCGTTTCCTAGGCGGATCTCCCATATTTTCGTGAAAGACCTTGCGCCTTCCCGCGGTGCTCTTCCGACGAGCACTTTAGGCCAAGGAGGCCAGGATGTGCTCCACGTGGTCAGCGTACTCGTTCATGGCGTCATCCTTTGATTTGCCTGGTACATCGCGCCATCATCGTCAAGCGGAGACGACAGACGGACGAGGTACATGTACATACAGGTACAGTTGCATGGGAACGAGAACAGAAGAAATGTCAAATGCAGCACGAGCTGGTCTGCATTGCAGCGGTTTAGACAGTATGATGGCGACGTCACTGCGATCAGAGCGGTGCAAGGACAAGGTAGTCTGTGGAACGAAAACACTCATTCCCGCACCAGATAATCGTCTCCCCCAACGATTCCGAGTGACAGGAGCAGCAGCCTCGCCAGTTTTGCATATTTCTGTTTACTTACCCGCCTTTCGGTTGCTTGGTTGCCTCTGCTGCCTTGAAGGAAATAATCTCCCATGAAGCGCGCCATTCGTGACGAATTTGTTTGACATTACTATGCCGTTTAACAAGTATGGAAGGAAACAGTCGGCTACTGTACTGTAGAGGTCAGGAAGATACTCACCTGCTGCGAGGACAACACACCAGGAGAAGCAACAATAACACGCACACAACAAGGCCGGTGCCCTGGTGTACAAACACACATGCAGACAAGATGCCAGCATGGTAGCTCCCACAGCACAAACTACACCCACACCAAAACAACAAACACACCGGAGCGGCTCGTTTCCGCCAACATTTGGCACGACCACTCTATCGTATTGACACCACGAGGTACATCAGTGGGCGTGTTGTGTAATATGGAGGAAACGGAACGACGGGAAATGTGGAGCAATAAGTCGCATGCAAGGCAAACGAACGTGTCGCGGAGAGGTCGAACTGACTCTTAAGGGTGAAGACAAGAAGCAGCAAGGGAAGCTAAAACGAAGCAAGACCCCCTCACCCCTCACCCCTCACCTTCCATACCCTTCCAAGAGTCCCACTTGGCCTTTCCCTTCATGTCCATCATGCCTGGTCTGAAAAGATAAATCGAAACAAGCAACGAGCGGCAAATAAAACCGAGCTTTTTACATGTGCACGAAACAGAAACAACGGCGGATCGCAAACACTGCAAGCGCTGTCTCTGTCTGTCTCTGTCTCTGTCTCTGTCTCTGTGTCTCTCTCTGTCTCTCGCTCCCTCTTTCGCCCATTATAAAACCCTCTCTCACTCACCGTTTAGTGTCGCAGTCCCCTACGTTGATCTGCTTGAAGAGGCCGTAAAGTTTCTGGAAAGGGCAGATCAACACGGGGGGTTGCAAGGACGTTTACACACAACACCAGCACCGGTTGAAAAACGGTTGTAGTGAGAGGGACCACAAACCTTGTCCTACTACAGCAGTACCATCCCAGGGGGGGCGTTTGGGCAACAGCGACGATATTTCACAACTTCGTTCTAGGCGGAGAGATGGCAGATGACACCCGGCCGGGAGCGTGCATATAATTGGGCCGCTGCGTGCATTCAAATTGGGTATCGCACCCATCGGAGAGATAGCACTGGGGCGCTGCTTGAAAACGCGACACGAAATGATGATACACTTTTAAGTAATTGCGTTTCTGTACCTGGGTCGGAGAGATGGCACGGGTCGGAGATCGAAGGGGTGCGAAAAGAAGCAGATTTTTCTACAGAAAACACAACCGATTCCCATCCGGTGCCATCTCTCCGTCCTCTTGCGGTACCGTGCGCAGAGATTTTGGAAGGGTTGTCAAGGGAGTCTACGACAGTAGCTGGGCACTGCAACGGTGCATCGGGATAAAACTTTTCAGCACTTCGTTGTACGTAGTCTATGCGTCTATGGCCAATGGAGGGTACGCATCAGGATATATAATACCTGTGAGATAGGGCGATAGATAACCCAATCTTGGGAAGAAAACAGGAAAGCAAGCAATAACGATGCTGGGTGGGTGGGTTTCCCACAGCCAGGCGTGCCGGTGCTGGCTGTGATGGTGTGATTGTGACAGCAACGGGTCGGGGTCGGATTGACAAGCGTTGGTCCATCCTGGGAACCATGGTACTGCTGCTGTGCCATGCTACCCTTGTACAGGTTGCAATTGGCACGCTCACAACATAACTTTCACTCAACAAGAAGCCTTTCTACTTTCGCTCACCAACTTGTCCTCATTGGAGACCTTATCGAGGTCCACGGGCTTCATCTTCTCCAGCGACTCGTTATAGCGTTCCATTGTCTCGGCGTGGCTATTGGTCCTACAGAGCACAGGTACGGAGGGAGGCATGCACGCAGAGAAGAAGGCTACGTTGTTGAACTTGGTTGTTCGAGGTTGCTGTGTTTTTGTTTTTGTTTTGTCTCCCATCATTGGACTCTGTCGTCTGCCCCTCGGGCCCCTATCCTCCACTTCTACCAGCTAGACGACCCAACCGGGGTCATATAGGAGGGAGGGGTTGGACCCCCTCCTGCGGTTCCTGTCTGAGATATTATCATCGCGAGAAGGGCAGCAATCCCTGCGTAGTACACTTATGTGTAGTTTTAGTGCGCGGCACAGCAACACCATCCGAATGAAGGGGTGCAACTTTTCTCAGTGCACATCGCAGCATAGACTGACTTAACTTCTGGATAGGAGGAGTTTGGTGTTGTGTTGTTCGTGTCACGTGCTGCCAGTAGTCTACGCAGGAAAATCGACATGCTGCCCCAGACAGAGCACGGGGCCACGTCGAAGACATGAACAATCGACAGCGCAGTGCCCATACTCGTGGGGTGCACCCACAATCTTTTCTGCGCCCCCCCCCCGCCGCAGCTGATCTTTGGTTGGGCGCTATGGTATGGTTGGTTGTTATAGTCATATACCATAGGTTGGGCGCTTGTTGGGGCGGGGCAGACAGAGCAACACCGGGCTTGGGGAAGAAAAATTGCACCCAAAGAGACGTCCTTGGACATCCAAGGTTGTGAGTTGTTGGCAAGTTCCTTGCATCACTGCTGTGGAGTTGGAGTTCCACCGATCGAGCATCAACACGTTTCAGGTGGTTGCCCCTGCATCTACAACATCAGCGTGTTGGATACTCTCTGGTGCTTCTGAAGTCGAGGCTACGAAAGGGACGGTCTCTGTGGGAGCATCTACTCCTGCTGTGGGAGCCTCTGCTACAACACTCAGCAGGGTCTCGTGGTGGCCGGTGTTTTGGAGAGCAGCGAGGGCACGTTTGGCTCTGCTGCTGGCTGTGCTGGTAGTTCCCCCGCTTTTTGCTCCCAGATCACATGTGCCCACGACCATCCCAGCACTCCCGTACTTTGCCGACATAATACACTGCTGCGGTGGAGAGAGAGGGAAGGGTGGTGGGAGGAAGCAGCGGCGGCGTCAACATGAACGAGGTGATACTAGCCACGGCTGGATACGACCACAAGATTCACTTCTGGGAGCCTCCTTCGGGAGAGTGTCGTAGCACGCTGCGGTTCAGCGACAGCCAGGTACGCATACGCTTGTAAAGCGTTGTTGTGTGTGTGTGCTGTTGTGTCCCATCTTGTCTACATAGTAGGACATGCGTGCAACCCAGTTGCGGAAGGGTGCATCGACCCCGCAACCTGTGTGGATGACGCGCGTCGGCTTTTCTGCCGTACATATGATATGCCACGCGTAAACTGCTGTGGTTTGGTGTTCAAGGGGTAACGTGGGAAACATGCTTCCCGTGTCACGTGTGCACAACTACACCCTCCTTTTGTATGATATGAACCATCACCTGTTGCCCGATGACGACAAGGGGTTGTCCAGTTGAGAAACAGTATGGTGGCCACCGGTGCTGTCGTGTGCGTATTTCTTGGATTGGAATTGCCTGCGATAACGGGTTGGCCAATTAAATTGACGCCAACCGGTGAGGCGGGACGGCTGTGGGTTTCTCGTTACTGCCGTATACATATCTACTCTTGGCGTGGACCCCTCAAACGGGCTTACCACAGAAAAAACTTCGAGGAAAGTCTTCTGCCGCGGCGGGACAGAAAAAAAACGCCTGACAGCAGTGACGGAGTAGACAAGAGTCGCAGCGGCAGCCGCAAGGACGAAGACAAAACACCGCGCTCGCTTTCCCAACAGGTGAACAGCCTCAAGATCACGCCTGACAAGCAGTACCTGGCGGCCGCGGGCAACCCCCACGTGCGTCTCTTCGACATCAATAGCCAGACTGCGAGCGCTCTCCGCTCGTACGACGGGCACGCCACGAACGTCACCGATGTCGGTGAGTGTTCCTCGCGGAATGTGGGTGGCATGCGGGACGGGGGGAAATACGCGGAACGTCCCGCAAAATGATGAGTTTCCTTTGTGGCATGTTGTTCGGTGTTCCTGTTTACTCGAGACGGTCGGATTGGGACAACGTTGTGCGGGAACATGGGGCACAAAGTCGTTGACTATCTGCGTGGCCTGTGTCGCCCGTGCTCGCCGTTGATGGAAGACCGTCGATACTGTTCGTGGGAAGAAGTTGCACGATGTCTCGTATGTGCCATGGCACCGCCAGCCTCCGCCCGATGCACGTCCCGTGATGGGGACCTGATGCGCCAGACTTCATCCTGGACAACATCGGTTCTGTCTTGAAATGACGATAAGACCCACCTGCTCGCTCGCGTGGTGTCTATCTCGTTGTATGCCATGAAACGGGTGTTCGTAGTCTCTTCTTGTCACAAATCCCTTTATACAACAGAACCAGGTGGGTGGGTAAGTTGGCTGTGGGTACGCTTCATACGTATTCCACGCTGATTTATTACCGTCCTCACCGTCCCTTCCCTCCCTAAACAACAATACCCAATCAAGGTTTCCAAAAAGACGCGAAATGGATGTACACGGGGTCAGAGGACGGTGCCATTAAGATCTGGGACCTACGAGCGCCTTGCTGCCAGCGAAACTACCACGTGGGATCAGCGGTCACGACGGTGGCGTTGCATCCGAACCAGGCGGAGCTCATCTCTGGCGATATCGACGGCAAGATCAAGGTTCGTTGAGCATCTACTACGGAGCATTGAAATGTATGTAGCGTTATTCTCGGGATGTGGGCTTTGCTCTTTTTTTTTCTGGCGGCTCAACTTCGTGGATCGACAGGAGTGCCACTTATTGGAAAGGACATGTTTCACATATTGATTGCTTGTTTGAATGGCGGCGAATTGATTTTTGTCATTCTGCTCGAATTCATGGACAAGTATTGCCCAGCCTTATTTCCGAATCGATCAGTTTATCAACATTCCGTACGCGAGACTGTACGTAAAGTGCTTTGTGTCGTACCGTATCTCGTTGTTGCTTTGGGTTTTTGGCACATGTGTGTTGTTTTTTAGCTCCTCGTTCAGCCATTGTTTCATAGTCGGACTTGCCGCAGACGTTTTTCATGCCCAATTCCGTGCGTTGCCCTTTCGATACCGTTCCGTGTTGTTGGTTTGCGGATCTAACTTGGAATTCCAGGTCTGGGACCTCACCGCCAACAAGTCCCACGAAATTGCCACGGACGGGAAGAACCACCCCATCCAGAGCTTGTCCATGGCAAAAAACGCCTCCGTTCTCGTGGGTGCCAACAACAAGGGGACCGTCTTCGTATTCTCCCCGGGGGGTGACACGAAGGCGAGAGGGCATTGGTTGTGCCGCACTTTGTTGTGCCGTATTGGAGGCGGCGGTGCCACCCGATGGGCATGCCCTCTAGGCTTTTGGCGGCGGTTCTTATCTCCGCGCCAACGTGTGCCTACCGACATATTTCCCTTGTTAGCGGGCAGAGCAATCTAGTACATAGCGTGCCGCTAGAGCACGTGCTCAACCCTGCTTTGGCTAATTCATCCGGGTATATCGTTAAAATGGAGCCACGCCTTTTTTAGCACGTATAATCTGAAGAGAATAACGCCCCGCCGTCTCCCCCTTTGTCAGAGCTTCAAGAAGACCAACGAGATCAAGGCCCACGACACGTACCTGCTCAAGTGCGTGCTCAGCCCGAACGTGGAAAAGCTGGTGACAACCTCAGCAGACAAGACGGTCAAGGTCTGGGATACCAAGACGTGGACCCACCAACGAACCCTCGTGAGTGCTCTGCTATGCTTCGGTAGTAGGTTCGCCGTTGGGTGCTCGGTGAGTGCGGCGGCCGCAGGGTGGCTGCGGACTTGAATCCGACAGTTAACCTCCTGCTTCTAAGCACAGCGGTCAGTTGGCCGTGGCTTCGAGACTTCCCTTCCATAACTTGAGTCCGGACAACGGCGCGGTTTTACGGTCACCCACGACGAGCTGTCGAACCGTCCTGTCGCGCCACAATCGTGTCGTGTACCCTGCGAACAAGCATAGAAACTGATGCCCTCTTACCGCTTCATCTATTGATTGCTGGTGCTTTGTCTGCTGTTGTGGTATTGTGCATGGCCATTGCTCTCCTCTGCCTTTCCCGTTGCAATTTTGCAGGCACAACACCAACGCTGGGTCTGGGACGCCGTCTTCTCCGCGGACTCGTTCTACATCATCACGGCGTCCTCCGATCAGAGCGCCAAACTCTGGGATGTGAGTTGCACGTGCTATCCTCTGTTGAACCTCCGCTTTCCCTCGGTTTTTCCTCGATTAAACCTCGGCTTAAACTCGGCTTATCCCCGGCTTGAGTATTGGTTGGGCGCGAAAGAAGCCATGCTGTTTGTGGTGCGAGAACTTGCAGCCCCACCAAGGATGTGTACTCCGCATACAGCGCCCACGGTGCCTCACCACGCGTATGGAATACGCTTCCTTTTCCTTCGGGAGAAGGATGCCCTACATAGGGTTGGTTCCTGGTGTACCTTGAACACCAGACCATCAGACCCCGTGAGAGGTGGGAGTTGGGTGCCCTAGGCTTTGCTTTGAGACCTCCAGTCTCCCTCCACGACCCTGGGTCCGAGCACCCCCGCCGTAACCGCCTATTGCCACAAGGACCGCCTATGCAGAATTTTTTGAGAGTATCTAGAAGATGAATATGGAGTGGGCACGCAGACCCTATCTCTAACCCTAACCCTAACCCCAAAGCACGGATTGAATACTTTATCCCATATGTTTGCTTAATAAATTTTGCTTTGTAGACTACTGTGCCACAATACGATCAGGCGAGGAGCGGTATCTACCTGACTGGGGGCTACATGTCACGCATGGAGGCATTTTCACACCCCAGTCGCCACTCCAAGTTCCCCTTAAACCCGGCCGCCCCCCTGAATATGTCCACGCTGCCGCAGGACAGAAGCTGACAACGCTTCCCCTTCTTCTGGCCCTTTCGTTTGTTTCACACGCAAGGCACGCGTTCTGAGACTGACCTCTTTGCATTTGTCAGACGATTTGCGCAGCCGGCGCCTGACACACACATGTCCATACACATGCTGTTTGAAAGGGGTGTGTTCCGCCCCGGCTGTTGTACGGATGTGACGTTTGCTCCTGTATGACTGCTGTGTAGTAATTACAATTTTTTTAGCCGTACTATAACTTTTTGGTGCGGCTTTGTTTGCGCTTCCTTGGGTCTAGAAAAGTGCCCCTTTCTGTTGGTGGTTAGTCTGTGACCACGGAAGGCATCCGCGTCAGTTGGACCAGTACGGACATAGGAGGGTACTGAACGGACACCAGAACTATTTTTAGTGTGAAGACAACAACAAATGAGTTTTTGACCCCCCTTCGCCCCCCACGGGAGCGCAAGTGGGTTAGCAACCCATGGTGGAGCATACATGAGAAGCTGGACGTTGGTGTACGCTTCATCCCG